AAATCACCTTTAGGGCTACAGAAGGTTTCCACAATTGTAGTCCAAAAACCCAAATCACATTTCCAAGCTCTGCTACAGTGTCTTCTCCTGTTCCTTTTTTCAGAAAGAGTCGATTATACCAGTGAACAATGTAACTATAGATGTAGGTCTTCTTCTAGCTAAGAAGCACTTCTTATAAATATTGGAAATTAATAATTAAATCTTTAAAATGTATCTTTGCCATTCTGAAATCTGTATCCAAACTCTTTCTTGCTTAGATGCTCTTTTTGCCATTCTTCCAGCAGAAAGCTGCTATTCTGTTATTTAGTGGTGACAGAATGCTAAGAACCTACAGAAACAACAAATGGAAATAGGTTTGTTTTTTCTGAGTATAGCATTCTTGCATTCTGTGTCTATCATGGTTTGTTGGCCTCCTTCACTGGACAGGAGGCAGGGACAATTTGATAGGTATTCTTCGATGCCAGGCAATGAGGGCAGATGTCTTACAATTGTGAGTTACTGCGTTCTAGTAACAGTTGCTGATTTTAAAGTGATGCTTCTAGCATACACAAACCATGAAACACAGAAGTGATCTGGCCCCTTTCCAAAGGTCTTAATACCTGTATTAGAAATCTGTTTGCTGTAAATTGTATGACTGAGACATGTGGTGTTGTCAGTATTTTCTCAATTGTGTTTTTTGCATTGTGTCACAAAAGGGCTTGGGATAGTATAGTACCAGACTGGGTGGCCATTCCAGAACTTGGAAAAGTTACATTTTTTAGGTACAGCTTCCAGTGGCTATATTGACTACAGGAGTCTGAAAGTTGTAGTCCAAAAAGTGTTTTTTTCCAAGCATTGAGATTCCAACAAAACAAAATGGTTCCATTTTCACAAGCAAGTGGGCTGTTAATGTCATCCATGTACCATTTGATCAATGAACTATGGTTTTGTGAGCTGCAGTAGTGCTTTCTGGTGAAGGAAATTATCTTGTAAGGTTGCACATGACAGGTGGCTCATGTGAATAATTCATTTCTAGAAGTGGTGGCCATTGGCTATTTTGAATAAGTGGAACAGACTTTGAGCAGCTCATATGACTTTTCTTTGTGATAAAAACTTTCTAATTTCCACTTGGTTCTCTGTGGAATCTGGAATTTAAATGTCTTTCCTTCGTTGCGGAGGGAAAGAAAATACTGTTGACCAGGGACAGGCAACCTTTTTGAGACCTGGGCCAGTCTCCCGTTGCCCAGGTCTCGGCTGGGCCGAGGGGGGGGAATGGCGACGTGCGCGCTGACGCGCACGGCACTCCCTCCACCGCCGCACGTAGCCTCCCGCGCACGCTGCTGCTGTGGCCGCTACTGCGGCCGCCGTCGTAGCGCACACAGCCGCAGCCGCCACGCCGCATGTCGCCGCCACCATTTTAGAAGTCCAAATCACGGCCGCGACGCGTTTGCGAGTGCGCAAGAGTACTGCGCATGCGCAAACGCGTCGCGGCCGCCATTTTAACTTCCAAAATGGCGATCGCAGCGAGCGCGGCTGCAAAGCGGCAAAATCACTCCCCGACAGGGGCGCGGTGGCGGCGGCGGCGGCGGCGGCGCGTGCCGACGGCAGCAACCTTCGGCCTGGGCCGGTAAGTCCGGGGCCCGGGGCCTTAACCGGCCCCCAGGCCGTAGGTTGCCGGTCCCTGCTGTTGACTGTGATGGTAATACTGAGTATCAGGAGATACAACTGTCATCCTTTCATGTTATCCTTCCCAGCCCTCTGCCGCTGCCATCCTTGTGTGAAGTATAATTTCTTTATCTACCTAGGAAAGATGATGGCTGCTCATCACATATTTGAGGTCCATCACTTTTTCAGGAAGACGCAAAAGACACTTACATATTCTTTTTATTCCATAGTAGCCATCAGATCTGAAACTGGCCTGGGCCATGGTGTAAATATAGGAATCATAATCAATACAGGAGGTTTGTGGTGACACTGAGAACAAAATCTAGGTCTCTTAGTGCTTTAGCTTCTTCTTTACTTCCTTGGCTTCTCATGAGACATACTAAATAGGAGAAAACAAATCAGATATTTTAAAAGAATAGTACACAGTTCAGAATACAGTTACTTAGAAAAATATGTACATGCCTATAATTATTGCTTCAACAAACAATAGACTCCAGTTCTTTTTCTAAAAAAACACACACAAGGAAGGTGAACTTTAGTCATGTAGTTCAGTTCTTTAGCATACAGTACCATTGTGTGGCTTCTAGGGAAATTCAGCCTTAATTTGCTCTTGGCCTTATTTATTGTCTTTTTGGCAGCCCACAGTATCCTTAGAAATCTCCTCCAGCACCACATTTCAAATGGGTTGATTTTCCAGCATTTCTTACTCCATATATGGGTGAAAGTCTGTGTTGTAAATTTTTGCTTGGGGTAGTGATTGGTGAGCCATTGCAGAGTTGTGCCTGTGGAACTCTTACACTATGCTGGCTCATGTAGGTTCTCAGCCATACAATTAACCTGTTCTCATGTGGTGTCTTCACAGGAGAATTGCAAAATAATACACTGGAGAATAGCATGTCCAGGATTAAACTGGGTTGCTTAATTGTAATGGAGCAGCATCCATTTTCATCAAAGCACACTTGGTTTGATAACAGTTCCATTTGGTAACTAGATTAAATGCTTGTGATTTCACCCTACCCCACCCCACCCCCTACATCCAGCAAATATCCCAGCATCTTATGGCTATGCTTGGATTTTTGACCCAGTATGTCATATTAAATTGTATGTATTCCTTTTACAGTTCAGTCCTACGCATGTTCACTCCAGAAATAAGTCATAAGTGAAATTCTGTGCACACTTACCCACTGAACTCAATGAATCTTCCTTCTCAATTGACATGTGTAGGATTGCTCTGTCAACCTAGTTAGAAGGACATGTTAGTAATTGGTGCTGTAAAACACTGTTTTCTAGTGCGTTGACGCTAGAAGATGAAAAGCGAACATTAGCCTCTTTGATAAATGGATTTTTAAGAATGGTGAGTATTTGATATGCTGTTCTGTGTTTTGATATCACTTGGTTTCTTTGAAAAACTTTTGATCTTCTCTTACTTGCTTGTAATATTGTCATATTTAGCTGTTGCTTGTTATGTTATCTGGATTGCTTTTTAATTATTGACTTTTTTTTACTTCTCTTGTGCTTTTATAAAGGAAAGGTTGAATATAAACACATTAAATAAATTAATACTGGCCATTGTGTAGTGAGAAATTCAGTTTTTCAGTAAGTGAAGCTTTAAAAACTGACAGAACCTCACATTGTAGTTCTGTTACAAGGGTATTGTAATGAATGAAGTTCCTAGAAATAACCTGAATAGGATTTTAATGTCTGTCATTTCATCTGCTGAAGATTGTTTCCTTTTCTTCCTTAACGAATGGAGTTTGCAAATATGAAAGGAGGTGAAGAATGCAAATGTCTTCTGTTAAACCTGAGGAATAAAAAATGAGTCCAGTGAAATCCTACAGATCCCTGAGACCCTATAAAGTGCTCCTCTTGTGCGATGTTCTCACTGAAAGAGCCGGTACTGTGGTTAAAATGTTGGCCTGGCACTTGAGAGACCCAGGTCTATTCCCTATGGAGCCATAAAACTCAGTTGATAACCTCAGTCTAGTCACTTTCTCTCAGCCTGACTTAGGGTGATTGTGAGGATCAAGTGTGAAGTATAGGCATGTATGCTGCCTTGAGCACATGGAAGATTGGTGGGATACAGATATAACAACAAATATATGGGATTTTCTTTCATAGGAATTGGTGATGCCAGTGCCTTAGACAGTGCTACACTCATAAAGGATTTTAAAATGCAATTATTCAGTTTATATTGTGTTTTTCCCATGAATGAGTGTCAAGGGAGGGGTACTTCTCCTCCCTAAAGTATAAATCCTAGAATTCCATAGGATGCTACCATAGCACTCAAAGTGGAATCATAGTGCTAGAATTGTGTAGGGTGATAGGGCTCTTGGTGCTATTGCCTTCAGAGGCATATTTGGGAAAGAACATCAGAGAAAGTTTTTTTTTTCTCAACCTCTGGCACTTCCTTAACTACACAGCATAAATAAAATAAAATAAAATAAAATTACATAAATTAAAATTAAATAAAATTAAGACACAAAATGAATAAAAGTATAACAATCAAAACAGTATTTTTAAATGCACTGATAAAATAAAAATGTGGCACCCATCCAATTAAACTTTTCTGCTGCCCTGGTCTAATCCAACAAATCCCTCTTCTATTACTTCCATCAAGGCATGGAAATTTCCTAGAGCAATGATTCTCAACTTTTCCCCTCTGCTGTTTTGCACTTAAAACAACAGAATCCCTAACCAATGATCATGCTGGCTGGGTCTTTTGGAAGTTCAAGTTCCAAACATTTGCCGAGTCAGGCACTGAGGATCCCTGTTCTACTAATACTTGATGTTGTTGTGTCTGACATATGGTGACCCTAAGGTGAACTGATCACAGGGTTTTCTGGGGCTGAGAGTATGTGACTCACCTAAGGTCACCCAATGGGCTTCCATGGTCAAGCAGGGTATCAAACCCTGATCTCTAGAGTTGTAGTCCAACACTCAAACCACTACGCCACTCTGGATGCTACTACTATACATTTTCCTATCATGGATGTATGAACAATAATATTTGGAAAACATTTTTGATGGCTGTAGCAGAGTTAGCCTCACTGGGGAACAAGTCATACGGAGAGAATGGGTTGGATCTTGCTGATGTCTAAGACGTGTCTTTTATGAATCCCCTTAAACAGGTTTCATTTGGCCGTGACTTTGAGCAGCAGCTGAGTTTTTATGTGGAATCCAGATCGATGTTTTGCAATCTGGAACCTGTTCTTGTCCAACTGATTCATGTAAGCAATATATTGAGGTATAAAGTGGACATCGCTGACTCTTTGGGTTATTTTTGCTGCAGCAGATTACCATTCCTTACATTTTTTTTTACAAGGCAAGGTCTGTTTTGGAGGCCTTTTATATGCAGATAGTATTTAGTGCACTATGTTTTATAACAATATTTGGCATGCTGCTGCTGTGTTTATGACTCTTATTTTGGTGGATTAAGGCTCTTATTAATAGTCCGAATTATTTCCTTGGTACAATAATCTCTGTTTCTTTCTCTGATTTAATTGCGTTATAAGCAATATTTGTGGGTGCTTTTTCTTAGTGTAAATGTGGGCCATACCATTCCATAAAGTGAATGGCTGTTCCATGGTACTAAACTGGTATTTTTTTTAATCTTTTAAAATAGTATTTTGTTATTTTAATGAGTGATGTGTTTTAATACCATTAATTCTATTTTAATGCTCACTTTTCTATGTTTTTAAATGTCTTTTTTTTAAATTTGTAAGCTGCTTTGTGTCCTAAATTTTGGGGGAAAAGCAGAGTAAAATAAATAAATAAATAAAAATATTCCGGGATAGCTGTCTTAGCAAATAATAATAATAATGCCACCATATCTTGAGAATACAAAATTTTAATATTATTTACTTAAAGACAAGTTTTGAGGCTCTAAACTATGAAGGATAAGATCTCAGTACCTAGTGAAATTTGTGTAGCTACATTATATGCCCTATGAGGAAGGACTTAGGGAACTGGGTATGTTTAGCCTGAAGAAGGGACAGTTAAGAGGGGATATGATAGCCCTCTTTAAATATTGAAGGGATGTCATATTGAGGAGGGAACAAGCTTGTTTTCTGCTGCTCCAGAGAACAGGATCCAGAACAATGGATGCAAGCTACAGGAAAAGAGATTCCACTTGAACATTAGGAAGTACTTCCTGACGGAAAGAGCTGTTTGACAGTTGAACATATTCCCTCGGAGAGTGGTGGAGTCTCCTTCTTTGGAGGTCTTTAAACAGAGGCTGGATGGCCATCTGTCAGGGATGCTTTGATTTTGAGTTCCTGCATGGCAGGGGGTTAAACTGGATGATCCTTGTGGCCTCTTCTAAATCTATGATTCTATGATTCTATAAGTGTTAGAAGGATTCCAAGAAGCCAGGAAATAGGTTTGCTGTCCTGCATAGTGCATTGTCTCTTTTCTTAACGTAACAGGAAAAGAAAACCTAAGTGATGAAGTAAATTTGCATGATTTATACAAATTATGTATAAATAAGGTTGTTGAATTCAGCCTCTCTTCAATCACATTTGTTCAGGACATTTATATTTTTAATGCAAAATATACGCAATTGCATTCATGCATCATTCTATATTTTTTCCATTATGTCTAATGCTAATTCAGTTAAACTACATAAAATTTACAGTTAGATTAATTTAGTCCCATTGATTGGTGCTGGACAAAGTCCAGCTGCAGAGTTGATCCCACCAGTAATGTCATCTTCTAAAACAGAGCGTGAACCAGCTGGCAATGGAAACAAGAAAAGTGATGAAAGGGAACCATTCCAGAAAGACGGCTGCATTTGTCAGGGTAGGTGTCAAAAACTGAACAACTTCCACATCCTTTACACTTTGTTATGAACAAGACGTAGGTCTATTATGTATGTAATACCTGGTTTGAAAATTAGTGAACAAAGAGTGTCAAGCTCACATACACCATGCTCTTCCTTTATTGTGGCCAGAAAGAGCAGTTGGGAGCAACTGCTTCTTGTTTAATCTAAATGAATTGATTAGTATTTCTGAACTGGGAGGAATTTCAGTTAGTTTAAACTATTGTGTGTGTGTTTTAAGAAGTGGACTTAATAAATCAAGGTTTGATGCTAGTCTATTTCAGAAAATCATAGTTTGAACTAACCAGAATTCCTCCCAATTTGTATATAACAATAAATTCAAATGAGTTGAAAGGAGCAATTGCTTCCAATCTGTTTGTGAGACATGTCACAGGAAGAAACGTTAAAACTCCTTCTTAAATACAGCAAAACCATGTTTTTATAATTATATCCATATATGTACTGCTATCCTTAAGAATAAAAATTATATACTGAAAGTTATACAAACTCCCCTAGTGTATACATTTTTAAAATGTGTTTGCCACTCTTGGGTATAAGTGTTTCTATAACAGTTCATAGTATAAAGAAAAAGGACAAGAGTCTGAAAAGAAAACAAGAAGAATGAGAGGGCAGTTCAAATGACAGCCATGATATTTTCTGATTTAAGACATGTCAGGAGCAGTCTTTGAAAACATTCCTTTCCTTTCCTTAGGCTTGTGTTGCCTTCTGCTTCATTACAATTCCATCTCTGACAAGCATCTTTTCTCGCCTTAATCTGTACTTGCACTCTGGACAGGTTGCTTTGGCAAATCAGTGCCTTTCACAAGGTAAGCCTTATGACTTCGTAGTTCCTTCATATTTTTTTAAAAAATGTGATTATTTTAAGAAGCAGTCTTTCTAGCAGCATGGAAAACACAAGCGGCTTGCTCACTATATTCTGTATAGTGGCTTGGGAGTGCTGATTCTGCTGGTCATGGTTCATTTTGTAGCATACATATATACATTATACAGAACCAACATCCTGTAAAGGATGTAGCTAATTTAAAAAAAAAAATCCAACCAGGGAGCATGCAGGCAGGGCATGACTGGCACTTGGCAGTTACAGATAGATAGATAGATAGATAGATAGATAGATCTGCTACTTCAGATGCGCTGAAGTTAGACTAGATATCCTTCTTCAATTCCTTCCAACTTTCCAGCTCTCTGGTACTATAATTTAGTTATGCCAGCCTGGAGAACTGAAATGGTATGTGTGGTTCAAAACACTGCAGAAATAATCCAGTTTGAGACTGCTTAAACTGCCCTGGCTC